TAAATGACTATTTTTGAACGTTACGTTCCTATTCTCCATTTTCAATACAGTGAGCAAGACTACTGCTGTTCTTTTCTTCTTTGCGACGCGAACTAGAGTAGTAAGTTCAATTCTTGAATAAAAACTTTTAAGATCAAGATCCGGTGGAATCTTGAATACATTATAACGATCAGTTATATATCGATCCAAATGACAGTAGTTTATAAACTTAGTTCTTGTCAATGAATACAAACTATAATGAAAACTGAACTGGAAGTTCATGAGCAACATTCACAGTGAACAAATTTATATAATAAAAATTCATCTTTAATTTTGATTTTATTCCTCCTATATTGTATTTGGTGATTCTATATCCTCAACATAAGCATTGGAAACTGTTAGAAAAAATTGCCTACACTTTCAGGGCGAACACAATCATTATTCTTCAATAAATTTTTCATTACATTATAAAAATTTGTACAGATTTCGTTTACATTTAAGAAGCTACTTCAGTATAATCAATTGAAATATTTTATGTTTGACGATCGCCTAAAAAAGCCGCATCATTTAAATATGAACAAAGAATAGTCTTTTTAAGGAATTCTTATCAAATTCTATAATGATGTGTCTAAATTATTAATCCAAAAATTGGAGACGTTTAAGGTAAGATAAAATGAATTAAGTTATGTCATGTGGTAGAATAAGCCAATATTTTTCAATTTTTTTTCGGGTCAGTAATTTTTTTGTCAAACGGTAGAAGCAGTAACAATTCGGATTTAAAAATCAGAGTAAGGTGTTCAACATCTCTTATCTAAGCTAACCTCAGGCTCAATCAATCAATAGTAAACTTAACTACTGAATGACCTAATTCGTGTAATGTACTTATAATCTTCCCTAGTCAAGTACAATTGTGCTTGTTTATTATATTCACATGTTTTCCTATTATTATTATTATTAACTGTGGTGTTAGCATTACTAGTAGTCCCGAGAATACATGATTAATTTTTTAAGATGAGAAAGAATACCTTTATATTAGTTTTATTCAATCGGTTATTATTGTACTTTATTCTAAGTAATAATATTAGGCCTCGATTAGCATAATGAATGGTAACTTTTGGGATCCATTATGAACCAATACTATACGTATATTTTTATCATATAATTGTTACGTAACTAAATTACTCATATCCGTGTCCCACTTATTATGAGCTTTGCTTTGACCTATGAACTAATATTATATCATTTGCCATTCTGAAATTATGCCTTGTCTATTAATTACTACCTCCCTCATTCACAGCCACATTTGGCTAATTCTTGTTCAAATAATCTTTCATATTTTATTGGTACGATGTGATCTGTTCGACTGGTATATAAACCTCGTATGTTTGAAATAAATGATTCATATTTCAGGGGCTGAAACCAGTGTTCTGGATTTAACTGGCTGGGCTAGACAGGAAGCGAGACCAATCAGGACTCCAGACTGCTCGCATGTGTTTTACGCGTCACTGGTTCGATTGATAATTCACTGCTCTTTAATTGGCGGTATCGTTACGTTATACATTAACAGGGCACTCAGGCCACGAGTTATAACAAATAATCACCCATAATAAACAACAAAAGAACTGAAGTATCCGTACATATTTCAAAACTAATAACTATGAAAGTCTAAAGTTTGAAGAGACCGTTTATTGAACAGGTAAAAGTCTACTTATGGTTGATTTTTAATATTTGAAAAAAGGTCCTTTATTCAACAGTATATTGCATAGATTTTTAAGAAGTAGGTACTTTATGTTGTGTACGATACGCTTATTGTTATCTATAATAATCATGTACAACTGTGAGAATAATAGTCACTATTTTATATGTAAATTGGACATCTTGTAATATGGAATAATATCACGGTCAAATAAATAACAAAATTCATGATTCTTATATCAAAATATATTTTCGTTTAATGACTTTCTTATAAAATGTAGAAATATCTCTTACAATGAACCATAATTCTGTGTTACTTTGTCTGGATCATTCTTATTGTTTAAAGCCTAAAGAATCAATGAAGAAAACTATGAGTATATAAGTGACAATCTGTTTAAGAAACATTTATTTAGTATAAATGGACATTATTTTGTTAGTGAATTGAACTTGGTATCAAAAATGACAACTTGTAGCATACATTAAAACATCACACAACATTTACATGACATAATCTATCTATTGTTTTCTGACTTTATTTATTAGGTCATTTATGTTTGTTGTCAAAATAGATCATAAATTTGTTTTACTAAATATGTGTTCATATCTCTTTTGTCGTGTTAGCCCAAACATCCATAAAACAGATTTAATTTATAAATAAATGGTTTATATTAAATGATAGTTGACTATTAATAATTACAATAATTACAATGTTAACATAATGCAAAATGATCGTAAGCTGAATCAATTTCAATCACCAAAACAAAAGTAGTAAAATACAAAACGTGAAATTAAAAAAATTCAATCACTTCTTTCCCGTTAAGTCCATCTCATAACAACCGAAGAACTGTATCAGTAACACAATATAGTCTATGTGGAAACCGTTAGTTTCGACCAAGGCTTATATGAAAATGAAACCAACTATAATATCTAGAATTCTGGACGAAATATTCTCAGTAGGTTTAAAACTATGAATAACGAATTAGATAGTATGATCATTTCGTATATATATGGAACTCATTAGTAAGACTTGTTGTCAAACAACAATTTATTCAAAACAAACGAAATAAAACGTGTCCGATTAATTTTATCTGTTGTAAATATTGACAATATCTAACAAATAAATAATGATACATCAACGATGGAATTTTAAGACATTAGTCATCCTAAGCATTCTGGGTGACAAAAATATTATCTGCTTTCCAAATGACACAAAGAAGATGAATTATAAAATGCAAGAAACTATATGACTGAGTAATTGTTTCCTTTTTTCTGTGTTTATTTTCAACGGATTATTCCGGTTATTTTTATATAGTGTTATAAGTAGGGTAATTTCTAGCACATCCAATATCAATGGTTAAGATCATGAGTCAGTTGAAGCTAGACGACCATGGAAAACCTGGAAGCACTGGACGGCCGTTTTCCATGGTAGTCTAGCTTCAACTGACTCATGATCTCAACCATTGATATTGAATGCGCTAGAAATTACCCTACTTATAACACTTCATAAAAATAACCGGAATAATCCGTTGAAAATAAACACAGAAAAAAAAGGAAACAATAACTCAATCAAATAGTTTCTTGCATTTTATACAATATCCACAAAACCCCTTCTGACGTTCAATATCATATTTTTAACTATCCTATTTCAAATTATGTTTAATTCAGTAATTAATCTACTATTAAACACAGTATCAAAACCAAACGTGTTTTTATTTGCTATTTTCTATATATTGTGGTTTAGCATTTTATATCTACAATCACGTGTTATAAGTCTAAGATATACGAGGTATCTGGATGATTATTCTGGCTTTCTGAAATGTTACTTGAAACAGACAACTTCTGTTTAAAAAGTCTTCAGTCCTACTAAGTACATGCCATAAAACAGTGAAATTATATATTACTAAATTAATCCAATTCATAATAAATTGACATATTCTATGTTTTTACCATAAATGAATAGATGAACAAACTAAATCTTTTCAAAAACAATTAATGTTTAAAACAAACAGATTACAAATAGAATATAAACGCCATTTGTATATAATTCATGAAGAATTTTCGACTAATAAAATATTTTTTTTGATTTTATGACAGATCCGTTTATGTCATCAGACTTCAACACAGAAATCAGTATTTGTTAAGAGAAAATCTGTTTCAGTTTCTTATTCATGTTAGGTAAATCTATGAATTAAAATAAAATAGGTTATATATAAGTGTATCATATAAAATTACTTATAGTCTGATTTGAAAGTCTCAACTTACATACAGTCGTTTTGTTTAATCTAGCATATTGTTTACTCTTCAAAAAAGAAAAGAAAAACAGTGGAAAATGTGTTACATTCATTAAATTTCCTTATCATATACACGCTGTAGTGAACAAAACACGAGTGGGGACAATCGAATGTATTTAACACAAAGTTACAGGACTTCTTAATAAAATCTAACAATCATAAAGTAAATGCTTAATTTGCAAAATGTCCATTGATTGTCTCAAAATGACTCATACTTCATTGTTCTTGCATTTTCATGCAAACTGCATCCTATTTCCATTTTTTACTGTCCGATCCTCTTTTCTCTCTGCTGCCGGACCTTCTATTCACGATTAACATCATATACTACTTATGCCAATATAAGTAGCACACACCACAACGCTAACTAACTATCTAAAATATATATTTACAGTGAAGGATGAATATAACGTTATAATTACTTTACAAAATATCATTCGCAAGTAAATGTATTAATTAACCAGGTAAGAAAATGTTGAGCTGCTTATAAAATTTATAACGTACACTGTAGTATCGGAATTACTTTCAATTTTAAATAAAAGTTCACTTTTCATTCGTAAACATTAAGTTTAATACACAAAAATACTATTAACTGAATGTTGTTTTTGACGGATTGATAACAAGTCAACTGATCTATACCGGTTTAGACTCTTTATTGTTTGTTAATACTTGTTTATAATCTAAATTGTTTATTTCAAACCTTAAAACGATAATGTTTACTCCAGCTGTTACACTTTCATATAACAATATTATATGGCGTAAGTGATATTTGCATATTAATCTAAGGCAATTTGGCTGATTAAACGAATTAAAAATCATGTCAACAGAGATAAAGATGATAAAAGTTAAATGAATCAATCTCACAATTAGAAAACCCAATTAATTCGTAAGGCACTTTGACGAATGTTCTGATGATTTATTTTGAAACAAAACTTAAGTCAAAAATGGATTTTATATTTAGATAAGTTCGATTAAATAAGTTTAATTGTTATCACTTTTCAGTAGATGATTTATCAGATGTTTGTCAATTATTTTCAGATTTAAAGAAGGTCAAAATGAAATCAACGTCAATGAAGGTGATAATTTGATTTTTATCTGTCCACCAAATCGAACATTTTCTCAATCACTTTATTGGGTATGATCACAATTTATACAAAGCTATATATATATATATATATATATATATATATATATATATATATATATATATATATATAAATTTTCATTGATATATACACCTTATGATGATAAAAAAAACCATCCTCATGATCTAATTCAAATCTGTCATTAGTGTGTCTATGGTGATACCAGCAAAGATTTACAAGAGAATAGGAAAATATTATCCGATATATAACACGTTTCTATTGACCTCTTACTTGACTGTGTGATAAGTTTTCGGAAAACTGTGTTTTTTAAAGTCACAATCCTTGTTAGTCATTTATAACTACCATTACTAATTATTCAGTTTTGTAAATACACTGAAATTCAATCATCATTTAGATTTTCATATCATTAACAGAAATATCATACAGTAAAGAACTTAGCCTAATTTTATTTCAGTGTCATTCCCTGCTAACCATGATTATGACAATCAAATAAAGATTATCTTGTTTGAAAACAAAATCTAATCTGTCAAAGTAATGACTACTTAAGTGAGTTAACTTTTTTACAATCTCTACATAAACTATATGATTAAACGAAAATCACTGATTTTGTAACAACAGTAAAACATTTTCAGTATAAGGTTGTGGAGTTTATTAAGTTCTGGGTTCGAATCTCGCAAACAAGATCGTGGATGCGCACTGCTAAGGAGTCCCAAAGTAGAACGAAACGGCCATCCTGTGCTTCCAGATTTTTATTGGTTCTTTAACATCAATCGATTCATGATTTTAACCAAAAACAGAATTCTTATTAAATATTTTGTTCATTTAACTATTAAATAAATGTCAGTGATCATAATCAAATTGTTAATTATGTCTTCGTCAATACGATGAAAGAATTTATCATATGAACATATTCTAATATTCCATTCACTTAATCTCAACCAACTGACAGATTTCTATTATTTTATAGTTTTTTTTCAGTTGATAAGCCTAAAATACACAACACAAACTACTAGATACACGATATTACTTAAAAATATTGCTTAAGAGTTCATAGTATTTTTAAAAAATGAAAGGATTCACGTTTGAATTGCTTGTTTGTGGTCATAATATAATTTGCTCGAGAAATAAATCCTCATCACCAAGTTTATTTTCAAGTTTTTACATATAAATTTATACATTAATCCCGGTACTATGTAGAGATAACAAAACGCAAAACCACAAGTTATCTATAAAGTCAAACTTCTGATAGTTTCTTATAGTGTTCCGAGCAAACAACGGAGTTAGAAAATGGTATGTATACTGATGGGGAACAAGACGGATATAAATTCAATTGTATGAAATAACAATTTTGTCATCTTATTTTGATCATTATTTGAATAGACTATTTACAACATTTGTAAATCTAATGAAAAATCTTAATGATTTAAAATTTATATTTATTGTTTGTTTTCTTGTTAATAATTTTTTTTACTCATAGACAAATGATTCACGAGTAACAATAAAATGCAATCGAACTTTACCAATTAAAGTAATTAAACTTTTAGATTGTTTCGGTGATAATTATGCAACGGAATTTATACTCAAAATTAGTAGATTTCATGAAATTTCATCTCTTCCAGTATTTCATCATGAATTACCCATTCATTTTGTAGGTAAGTTATGACATATCATTACTCAATTGAAAGTTTGAATTAAAATAATTAAATCTGTTTTCTTTAGATTTTTTGATTAATCGATACTAGAATACGTTCTCTAGTCATTAAGACTGTTTTCGTTAAATATACTGTCATTATGTCAACATATAGAGGTATACAGAAATATGTTTACATATAACATATGAAAACTATTATAGCGCTTGATCAACTTAAACCAATCATGCTTATTATTATTAAATTCATTTGTTTTATTTTTTTGTACTGTGTATTTTATTTATAGCTCAATCGGTTATTTGTCAAAACAGTAACTTCCGCCTGAGTGTTAAGCTGGCGTCAACACATAGGACCACAAGCACAGATAACGTTTCCAATGGTTCCGCAACATATATCAAAAAGTCTAACTTGACAGATCATTATGAAAAATGTAAGTCATTAATTATAATTTGCCTCTTTACACAGAATCCGTATATAAATGTATAACTGCGTTTTACAATATGATTTATCACGTTCTATCGTAGATATATTGAAAACTTTATTACGAGCATTCCGCTAAACACAAACTAGTTTGCATAGAAATTTACCTTAGTAATGAAAAAGTTTCCCATAAATCTTCGTTTTCCATCCTTTCACATACTATAGAAACTTAACTAAGTAACGTGCTGTAGAGACAATCAGCTTACAACGTAGCTTCATAATAACTCTTCCCTATTAGTTTATTCTTGTTACTTCAAACAGACTTGAATAACTTAAATTATGAACCATTGTCCAGTCACATATCGATAAATATGATGTTTCAGTGGAAAAGATGAATTGTTATGTATTTGATAAGAATGAGTTTTGTGTTCCAATAATATGTAAATAAATAGAAAATTTTAATTATATGATCTTCAATTACTCAGTGTTTCATTCAATAAATCAGAAAAGATGGATATAAATGAGTTAACGAACATGGTGGCACTGTACTTTTCATATCGTATTATCAATCGAAACTCCACCTGGAGTCCCTCCGGGGGCTACTGCCGGTCCCAAGCCCGGATAAAGGAAGACGGTTGGGCATGGGGTTAGCGTCCCCATCCCGTAGAAACCTAACTCGCTAGAAAAACGCTAAAAAACATTATCAATCAAGTTAATATTATATATTATGCAAATTGAATAATTTACAAATGAAAACCTAACAAAAAATTGGGTTGCAATACCAAGAGAGAGTGAAAGAACTTTCATCACTGAATATCATCAAAACTGGTATTCTATGTTATGTTTTTAAGCGCTATTCAAAATATTATTCACTTAGTGGTTACATAATGTTATTGAGGCATTATTTCGAAGAGCTGTGTACATCAGTAGATATTGACCATAACAAGACACTTAACAATTATTACGAATGTTGTTCAATATGCCTGGTGTTTTTAAATTTAATGATAAACCATTTTATTTTATCTAATTGTTTTTTTTCTCAATAGCTCCTACCTCAAATAAATCATCCTATTATCATATTAAACGGAAAATTGCAAAATTTGTCTCTAATCTCTCTACGAATTCATATTTAAATCATGAATTTACTAGTACAGATCAAACAACCTGGAAAGAATATCGTTTTCTTATTTTACCAGCAACATTAGCTTTTTTTACATTAATTGGAATGCAGATTGTTTTTTGTAGTTTTTGGTTACCTATTTCAGTGATCAATAAATTCTTTAAACATTTTCGACAAGGTAAACGTTTAGAAAAATTGAAATCACAATCTAATCAGAAAATTGAACAAAATGAAACAAAAACAATAATCGTTTGCAAAGAAAATTATCAAAATCAAAATCAAAATTTATGTTGGAGTATACCGACTCAAAGATCAATGAATTCTTGTACAATATATTCAATGAAAAAGTCATTTTCGAATTGTAACCCATATATTACTTCTTATAATCAATCAAATGATTGTAAATTAATAAATCAAAGTTATCAAACTAATTGTCATAATGAAAATGATCAATTTCAATTGTTAATACCGAAGAAATCATTAATACATCATTATGATTATTGTAATCAAACAGATTTATATGAAAGTCCAAATGTATTATGTAATTGTTCCTATCATCAACATCAACAAATTATGATGAAATTAAATAAAAATCATACAAATATTTTACCGATTTTTATTTCATCTAATATGAAATGACAGAAGAAGTTTACAACGAAATAAACTATATCAGAATTGACTTAAACATTAAGGAACAATTGATTTTGGTATTATTATTAGTAGTAGTGTGGTGTGGGTTACTTATATCCATATAAGTAGTATATAACGGTGGTCAAGCATAGAATGTATTTCAGTGGAAGATTGATAAGGAAGGAACGGAAACGGAACACAGTTGGTATGATAATGCATAAACAATCATATCTGAGACAATGAACCGATATTTGCAAAAGAAACAGTGAAGTTTGAAACGATGGACTTATATTTTGCAAATTAACTATTTACTATATGGTTCTCAGATTTTAATAAAACGTTCTGTAATTTCGTGTCAAATAATTCGATTGTCCTCACCTGTTCTTGTTTACTACAGTAGTATGTGTAACAAAGATGATTATTTCCTTTTAAATATTAACTGTATAATAATAATAATAATCGATATAAAAATCAAATGCCTTTTATTGTTCAGTACACAAAAGAAACTATTGTGTTACTGACCTTCAGAGTACTTTTTCTTTCTTTTCTTTTTTTTTCTTTCTCAAACAATATAAAACTATAGTTTAGTTAATTTTACAAAATTACAAGATGAAAGACCAAATCAAGTATGCCAATTATCCAAAAAAGTCGAAGGAATTATTTCACTTTGATGTAACTTTCTTATTTATCTTTAATATAGTACTGTATTTCTATAATATTAATGAAAGAAAAAGAAACAAAAATAAACTAACATTCAACTTCTTAATTCATCTATTTATACTTGTTTATATTGTTTTGTAGATAACCAAAAGAAAGAAAGAAGAAAAAATACGAATAGAGAAGTATACGTTTTTTGTTGTTGCGTCATCACATATTTTCTTTTCTTTTCTTATTCTTTTTTCTTGATGTTTCATTCAAATAATGTTTCATCTTTAATGAATATAAACATCTTAATGATATAGAATTGTTGAAAGTTTATAATGTATATCTTTCTGTATTTGTGTTACGGTCATTATTCACTAGATAAATGGATTTTTAACTTAAATTAAAATAAAATCGTCCATTGAGTAAAAAAGAAAAATTTAAAAAAATAGAAAAAAAATAATTAAAATATGTGAAAATAAAGAAAAATTATCGATTTTATGGATAAAGATTTTCCTGATGGTTTAAATTGTATAAATAGTTTAATAGAATTTTATTGAATTTATTTGTTTTAATGTTTACTAATTAATAGAAATAGGTAATTCACTAGATATTGTTTTATTTGAATCTTCCCATTGATGTTTTTGGACTGAAATTGATCAGTCTCTTATTGGCATATGTGCATACTGTGCGTATGCCTGGATTCCACTGCTAGCCACTATCCATCTTTGCTTACAATGCTTGTAAATTAAGGCAATATCGAGGCATACGCACAGTATGCACATATGCCAATAAGAGACTGATCAATTTCAGTCCAAAAACATCAATGGGAAGATTCAAATAAAACAATATCTAGTGAATTAAACTTCAACCCATTGCACAAGCAAGTGGCTATCAGGACTCAGTAGCTAAGTGGATAACGCGATGGCGTTTGAAGCGAACGGTACTGAGTTCGAGTCCCAGAGTGAACATCAACTCTGAGATGCAGGTACATCCAGCTGACGAGTCCCAAACAGGACGAAACGCGCGTCCTGGATTCCACTGCTAGCCACTATCCATCTTTGCTTACAAGAAATAGGTAATGTCTGTAAATCATTATGTATATACGAAATGATTGAACGAATCAATGCAGTTTATGAGTTAATGATAATAGTGAAATAGATTACATAAATAAACATAATAATTGAAAGGTACAAATTGGTAGTGTAAGGACAAGTGTATTAGTTGTGATGAAAATAATAAAGACTTAAATCAATATTACATAATGGGAAATAGGTAAATGATTTGAAAAATATAGACACTGAAGTAACATTCATAAGGATTACAATATTATGTAATAAGAAGTCTTCAGATAATTGGACCAGGAATCGTATATTTGGTAGGAGGGGGTGAAGAAAAATAAACGAAGAGAGAGTCTGGAAAATAATAATAAGTAAAATCACTTATGAAGACCAAGGAAGAGATAAGGGTGTTACAAATTTCTTATGAACATAACGACTTGGATTTTTGACTCGAATTACTAAAGCTTCAGCTATGTATAGAAGACGAGATCAAACACCATAAGAAAAACTAGTACGAATAGCATAAATAACTTTAAATGACTTATTTCTGTCTACTATATGACCGCTATCGATCAAGTTTGATAGAACTGAGCTTCGTATTGTCTTGACAGTACCTTTTCCTAACCACGAAGGGAGGTGTTGACTAACTTTTTGGTTCAGTTGTCTGATACTGCTCCCAATATGACTTTCTCCACAAGTCCAGCTGAATTCTTTGATACACATAGAAGTGACCTAACCATGTATTCTATCCTACTGTTATCTTTGACTCATAAACTGACTGGATTGGTTTAATAATTTCGTATATATATATAAATATTACTATATATTAAAATAAAGCCTGATGAGGATCTTACCGAAAACAATATTGTTCGCTAATATATGTTGTTTTCAATACTTTTAATCAGACTGATTGATACTACTTTCCAGTCAGAAACAAAAATTAATGAGTCACTAGTTTTGAGCATAAAAATCAATTTGAGAAACATGTTACGTTAACATGCACTCACAGAAAAAATCTTGACTAATCAATTCGATCGTTAATTTCAATTCGTAATTGTATAATTTGATAAAGATATAATAAGAATAATTTTCTTTATTTATACATATTTTGTATAAAGTGTATCGTATCAAATAAGAATGCAAAACTCATTTTACTACTCATATAATTATTCTTTGATTTACTAAAGATTTTCACTGGAATTTTCCAAAATTAAATAAATGACGTCATAAGATAATTACACTATAATTTAATATCTTTTCCTAATAAATCTGTTATATTTAGTCGTCGCTGATCGCTGTGCCGGAAAAACGCTGATCACTTATATTCAGAACGAGGGACCTCTGCAATTTCCACGATGCGAAAGTAAGAACACAAAGACTGGTATAAGTGAAGATTTATTAGCCCCAAAACACTATGACGACGACGAATGGAATATAGTCTAAAATACACTGGTTTATATATTGATTGTACACCTATTTTGATTAATAAGTAGGATTAAATCATATACTCAGTTATAACAAATCACTTACTGAGCATATTTCATGTCAAGTGAATACACGAATATCGTATATTATACAGAAGAAAATATCATACTGGGAAAACAATCGAATACTACACTGAATGATCATCACATTGAATTAGAAGAGAAGTAATGTTGAACAAAACCCATAATGAGTAAATCAATCGAAAATTGACTTTTCTTTCCATTATATCAAAATCAATATCATATTACTGTAAGGTATTCAAATAATAATGAAGCTATACAATGACAGTGTAATTTGAGATATATGTTCAGTATAGTCTCTGGACCTTCGTAATGTAATTATTAATTAATGAATAACTTTACAAACAATATCAATAGGATTATGATTCATTCTTCATTTGAAGTCAGTTACCTTTATTCTTGATCAATTTTTAAAATAAAACGCAACTATGAAGTAATTTACAAGACAAACGAACAAACAAACAAACAGATAAGCACAATTCACATAAAACTATTTCATTTACTTGATTTTATCAGTTTGATTGTTTATTGACTTGAAAGGCAAACAAATCGGTTAAAAGAAGTAAATAATAAAGTAGAATTAAATTACTATTTTATAAGCACAGATGGGAAGATACAAGCAAAACAATACCAAGTGAATTTCAATTCATCCCAATGCACAAGCAAATGGCTATCAGGACTCAGTAGTTGAATGAATGACGCGATGTCGTTTGAAGTGAATGGTACTGGATTCGAGTCCCAGAGCGAACATCAATTCTGAGATGCAGGTACATCCAGCTGACGACTCCCAAATAGGACGAAACGCGCGTCCTGGATTTCACTGCTAGCCACTATCCATCTGTGCTTATAAAAGCTTGTGAATTAAGGCAACATCGATGCATACGCACAGTATGCACATATGCCAATAAAAGACTGATCAACTGCAGTCTTAAACCCCCATGGGAAGATACAGTCCAAGTACCAAGTGAAAACTAGTTCATTTACTTGATTTTATCAGTTTGATTGTTTATCTCGCAATTTTATTGACTTGAAAGGCAAATAAATCGGTTAAAAGTAGTAAATAATAAAGTAGAATTAAATTATTTTTTTTTCATTGAAAAAACGTAATAAATTTTGTGTCCAATCTATTTTTTTTTGTAATAATTAACTCATAAATTACTTTGGTTGGTTACATATTTTCACATGTCCATATAAATATCCATATATTATAGAATAAAGATAGATAAGGATCTAACTGAAAACAATATTGTTTGGTTATACATGTTGATCTAATTAGATAACTAATAAAACTAAGAATTATTTCCATTGAAACTTTTCAAGTATTCGTCTTTCTTTTCTTGCCTATCAAGATGGATTGTACACATTTCAACTGAATATGTTCCATATGAAAAAAAGAAATTAATAATAGCTAAGTCATCTGAATGAATATTTAGTTGATTTTATTACTAGAATAGAATGAATTCAGGTTTAATGCTTTATCATGCAATCGTTGGTTATGTTTCTTAGTTTAGAATTATTTGATTGATGTTTCTAATAGAAAAAATAAGTACTTACTAAAACAATCATTTTCATCGTATATTTCGACTGAAATAATTTAATAAAACATTATTTAGAACATTACGGTGAAGGTAATATCAGCATTGATTTCTCAATTTTTCGACTCTGATAATAGTGAAATTACTGCGATACGGTATTCAGTTATCGAAGTCGAGTTTAATTTCCTAATGATTGTAACATAATTTCCACCAAAAAATGTTTCAGACAAATGTATATTTATAGTGGACCTGTGTCACGTGCCTAAAACAGGGTAAATAAACCTCGGGGTAACTGCTAAATAATATATATATATATTCATATGTTCATAATAGATAATTTGGTTCGTCAATCACATTGATGCCTCCTCCTGTAAACTTATGGATATTACTAACTATGACTACCTATCGTTCCCCAGGGTAAGCTAAATTGTTGATCATTCACAATGTTTTTTAAACGCACAGAAAAAGCAAGAATAATTTATTGTAAATATGTCTATCATTCGTTGAAAAACTGTGATCATTCTCTCCTTCTCTCTCTCTCTCTCTCTCTCTCTCTATATATATATATATATATATATATATATATATATATATATATATATATGATGAAACTCTCATTCTAAACTATCATATTCATCTCAGATGTATGCGATTACCGAATGTTCTTATGTAAGAAAAATGATTTTGCATTTTCATTTACTGTAACAGTTGGTTATAAGAAATATTTTCAAGCTAATGTATATAAACATGTGCTTAGATTTCCCAAGGTTCATTTAAGGCATACTTTATTCAACATAATTCTATTTTATTTGTGATTATGATTTTGAATAAATGTAAATATTTTTATTGAAATCATTAGGCAACATTTGACAATGGCTAGCAGTGGAATTGACGACACGCATTTCGTGATAGTTGGGATTCGTTAGATGGATGTAACTGTTACATGACTGTTCTATAAGCTGGTGATCATTTGAAATCAGTAGCGAAATTGATAGAGCGTTGAGCGTTAGGAGGAAAAAATGTTGAGTTCGAATATCGATTTTAGTTGCTTCTAGTTGATGAGTTTCTAATGAAAAGAAATGCGCATCTTGGATCTCAATGCTATGAACTACCAAATTTCGTCTAAAATCCCTCGTAACTTTATATCTATATTGACATAGTCCGTTTAGAATGTCCGTCTACCAAAAGATTGATTAATTGCAATTCTTAATATCAGTAATCGAAGGAGTTGAATAACCTAAATAAACGAATAACAATGAA